TTCCTTTAACTCATTTTATGGTGGATCATAAATCTTGAACTGGTTTTATAAGGTACCTAGTTCGTCGAGAGCGATAGATATCTGGGCGTTTCATCCAAGAAGTGAAACATATAATCCCCATCGTCCAGTTCACTAGAAACATATTCGATACCCACTTTCACCCTCAGTGGAGTTGTCTCGTGTCCCTGCGTCCTTGAACTAGTCCCCGTTCGGTACTTGAAACTTCGCTTCTTGTGGTTTGAAAATGTCAAAACGTAAGTGTTTGAACATAAAAGAAAAAAATTTAATTCTTCAGGAAGTGGATAAAAAGCGTCAAGAAACCTTTCTTGTGCAGTTTTACTTTCTTTCTTTCTTTTTATTTTCTTCTTTTGATTGATAAGATATATAAAATAAATATATATTAATTTACAAAAAGGTGTGAATAATTACTTTTTTTTAATATATAGTGTTTATGAATTTAAAATTTGTTTTATGTGGTTTACAAAGAAAATTAAAAGATGAACCTCTATATAACGAATTTTCCACATAACGAACTTTTTTCAGGGATTTAGCGACTTCGTTATATAGCGGTCCGACTGTATTTTACTAAAAAAATCCTGCAACCGCGATAGCAGATGCGTTTTACTAAGTTATTAAATTTAATTATATTTTAAATTCATAAACATTCCAATGTTGTATTCAAGAGGAACATGCTACAAAAAATGAATACAATAAATATTTTAAGAATTATACTGTTATGGGAGGTGAAAATTCTAAACACAAAAAAAGCATTTAGAACCTAAGTAATCTGTTACCCCTCTACTACTCCAGAGGCAAGCTACAAGGAAATTTTTCTGGAGGGAACACCCGAAAAATTGCCTGGCAGCATCCTAGCAATTTTCTTATTCCTTGTTTTGTTTAAAAAAAAAATACGTTCTTCGTTGTAGTCTGCATTTTTTAAAATTTGTAACACTTTTTCAATTAAACTGATGCTTTCTGTCAAATTCTCAATAGTCATTCGGTCTTCTGACTAAACTGGGTCTCAGACGAAATTTCTTCAATGTTCTTCTCTTGCCCATACATTTCAATGTGCTTATTGGTGGCAATGGTAGGCTAATGGTCAAGGTAACGGACTCGTGGCCGGCGTGAGTGAGTGAATATTAACGTCACACCAGTAACGCACACAAAGGGGGAGGGGTCTTGGAGGTCCGGACTCCCCCCCAAAGCCCTTGATCTATTTTCCAATTAATTATAATTCTATGTATATAGTACGTAAAATTTAATTAAGAATTTTTTTATTAATGATTAATTTTATTAATTAATGTCTACGTCGCACTGCTCAGCTACACCAGGGCTTTTGGTGACGGACCACGTAATTTTGAACCATGGTCAAGTGACGTGGACGACACCTGAGCTGGCACCCCACTCTCCTAACTACCACACCACACCAACGGGAGGACGTTTGAGCTCTCGACAGATTTAACGAGCATCGCTGCCCTACAAGGCGGGTCTTTTGTCGTACTGGACTCGAACTCATGACATACCTGCCATGATCCGATACCTTGACCACCGGGCTACCGCAGCCCTTCGTGGCCGGCGTGTCGTGAGTTCTAGCTTAGTGCCGCTGAAGACCCGCCGTGTAGGGGAGCGATGAACGTTAAATCTGTCGAGAGCTCAAACGTCCTCCCATCGGTGTGGTGTGGTAGTTAGGACAGGGAGGGGGTGCCCACTTAGGAGTCGTCCTCGTCACCTGACCATGGTTAAAAATTACGAGGTCCGTCGCCAAAAAGCCCTCGTGTAGTTAAATAATGCGACGTTAATATTCACTCACTCATTCTATATGCTCATCAATTGTCAGCTTCTGATTGCGGGAATCCGGCAGTTTTTGAACTTCATCGCTATTCACTTCTAAATTTGTTGCCTGGCAAGGTCGACAACAGTAAGAACACTAATTCTACCTGAGTTTCAGTGATGAAAGGGGGAGATTAATCGACGAGATTTAAAAATTGCGTAAGTCGGGGTAGAGAGAGAGAGAAAGAGAGCGCGCAAATCGAGGCATTACTGTGTTACAAAAAAAGCTGCGATCTATAGAATAGTGTTTAGTATCAGAGCATTTTTATTTAAAAAATGTTCCGCAATTTTAGGATTTATTTTTCGATACTCTTAAATAATCTTTTTCAATTCCTACTATTCGTTCACAATCTCCCTGTCTTCTTCAAATTTTCAATCGTTAATAAAATACATTTTAAAGCGCTCAATTGAACTGAAATTTTATATATACGATTATTTTGGATGACAATACGGTAATTTAATTAGAATTAATAAAAATTAATTTATTAAAACTAATTATTCGAAGAATTACAGATACAGCCACGTTGGCTTTATTTTTGGCAACTTGTGTCAAAACTTGAAGATTTTTTTCCCTCTCACGTTTTAAAGCATTCAGTTGAACTGAAATTTTCTATACACGATTGTTCTGGGTGACAATAGGATAATTTAATTATAATTAATTAAAATGAATTGACTGAAACTAATTTTTTAAAGAATTACAGATACAATTACGTTGGCATCATTTTTGGAGACTTAAGATTTTTTTTTCATCACGTTTTAAAGCATTCAGTTGAACTGAAATTTTATATACACGATTATTTTAGATGACAATACGATACTTTAATGATAATTAATAAAAACTAATTTACGCTTAATATTGTGATTATGTCATATATGTCTATACATATTTATACTAATTGTAATTATTTGATAAAAGTTATTAAAAATAAAAATTTTCTTTGTGGACCTAATTTTTCTCAGTTGACCAAGACCTAAATTTATATATATATTACTTGTTCTTTAGTATTACAGTGATCACAAATGAATATTTTTCGTGTACCGTTTCCTTACACCTAAAATGATCATTATGGGAGAGAACCAGAATTGAATTATTTGAATCCCATCAGTGTTAATGTCACACTTATTACACATTCCCTTAAACGTTCCAGAAAGATCCAGAGCATCCCGAGACAGTTCCTACCTTTCATCATCCACCCTTAAAACCGCAACAGTCGCCTGTTGCATTTAATTCAATAAGAAAGTCTCACTCTGTCAAGACTGCTTTTTGAAGTATCGCACTCCCGTCGCCAGTATCGCGGAACTGGTCCCGCAGACGCCATTTCTCTCGCGCGCTGACTGTCACTCCAAATGATGATCAAGAGAGAAAGAAATGGTTCCTAATGCTGTTTTATCTCTCCTCCTTCTCCCCTCCCCTCTCTAGGAATCAAAAGATTGGGTTAAATTGATAGAATGCAGTTTCGTTCGGATACGGCCCGGCGGACCGTAGAGATGCTCCACTGACAACCCCATGAAGAATAGCGCGCCGGACGTAGATAAAAAATAATACGCATTCGCTAATATTTGATGGATTGACTGTGGTGTTGGGGAGAAAGATGTGATGGGTTTCAGTAATGAAAAGTAACTATGCGATGCGCAACTATGCTTTGTATAAGAAATTTCTGCCTGTTGGTACAGCTTAATGCGTTGAAAAGAAGCTAACACATTCTCTCTCTCCCTTCCACTCCCTCCAATTTCATTTTCCTGGTAAATAAATCGTACTTCTATAGAAAAGAGTTTTCGAGAGAAGAAGGATTTAATAAAAGTCACCACAGGAGATAAGACAGCAAACGTAAACGATTCATAGTTAAATAAATTAAATTCAAACAATGTATTAATTTAAAATCAGTTGTTCCCAAACTTTTTTAACCCATGGGACCCTTTTTATAGTCAAAACTTGGCCACGAACCCCTTTTTTACAGTCAAAACTTTCCCAAGGACTCCCCCCTCCCAAGTGAAAAAGCTACATATATGCAAAGAATAAAAATTACAAATTAAAAAAGAAAAAAAAACGTTTTGTTGAAGAATTATTTATTGAAACGGTTATTTATTGAGTTCAACACCTATTGAGGAATATCCAAGTGGAATAGTTATTTAAATTTTCATAAAAATAAAAATGGATCAAAAAATTTTTTTTTATTTTATATTAAACCATGCGCGGGCCCCCTGAGATTTTTCAGGGACCCCTAAATTAATTTTACTTCTCCACGGATCTCCTGAATAATATCGGGGACTTCTGGGTTAGTTAGTTAGTTAATATTAACGTCGCACTGTTCAGCTACACGAGGGCTTTTGGCGACGGACCACGTAATTTTGAACCATGGTCAAGTGACGTGGACGACACCTGAGCTGGCACCCCCCTCTCCTAACTACCACACCACACCAACGGGGGACGTTTCAGCTCTCGACAGATTTAACGTGCATCGCTGCCCTACACGGCGGGTCTTTAGTGGTACTGGGATCGAACTCATGACATGCCTGCCATGGTTGGATACCTTAACCACTGGGCTACCGCAGCCCTCAGGGACTTCTGGGAGACCGTAGGAACAACTGACTTAAATAGTGAAAATTATCACTCATGTCTATAATAAAGCCATTTCAAATTATTTTTTGAAAAAAAGTCATTAAGATATTTAAAGTGAACAGCGTAGTTGGAAATTTACCCAAATAAGGTTTAGCATGATTTATCTTCACACGATTACTCAATACCTGTTTAGACCAGAGGTACTTAAATTTTCTATCTTCGCCCCCCTTTATGTATCAACTTGACACTACGGACCCACAAGATTTTGAGCATCCCACCTTGACTTCCCAAGCATGGATGAGTGATTTAAATGCAATCGTTATTGTATTGACACGCTATGAATTCAGTTTTTAATCTTTGCACATCTGTTTCTATTTTTCAATTCCTATTATTATAGTTCACTCTCTCCTTATATATATATCTAGCCGAAATTTTCATTCGTAAATAAAATACTTTCTAATCATCCATTCAAGTTCAAATACATTGTGATGGACACTTGATAATAATACAGTCTTTTCAAATATTAATTCATTAAATTAAAAAATGAATAAATAGTAACGAAAACAATAACAGTCCAACAGCATATATAGAAAGGAAAATAGTTCGTTATGTCCCTGTATCACAATGGGTAGCGCGCGCGTTGGACTTCTAATCCAAAGGTCGTAGGTTCGAATCCCACCTGGGATGCCCTAATTTCTAAGAATGTGATTTACTTTTCTATTATACTATTCTATTAGAATAATTGAATTTAATTAATGAATGAATAAATAAATAAATAATAAACAAAAAAATTGTACCACACCCTATATAGAAAGGAAAATAAAAAAAATTGCAAGGAAAATCGCTTTCTATTTGATCACTTAATAGAGTGATTCTGTCATATGTATATACATATTTATATTAATTGTAACTATTTAATAAAAAGTAACGAAAATAAAATTTTTTTTTGTTGACCTGAGTAGGAATTGACTTAATTTTTTTTTATATTACTTGTTTGAAAATATTACGTTGTAGTAATGGTAATGTAGATGTAAAAAATTTTAAAAAAATTGAATTAATATTCTCGATCGAAATACGTATTCTAGGAGAAACTTTTCATTGGGATAAACTTAGCGATATACTAATGGACAAAAATAAAAATCAGCACACCAAGAAATAATTCCAGGATCGTAACGAAACTTGTCATGAAGGTACATGTCGGGGAGATATGCAAATGATTAGAAATGCAGCGTGATTGCGCATTACGTATAGCCGGTAGAGAGCGTTTAACGTCGTTCTCCGTGGAGTATAAAACAGGTAACCAAAGCTTGTTTGAGTGTGCTGAATCGTTTACAAAGGAAGAGCTGAGGTACACATGCCATTACGCCGTTTTCGAAGACAATATGAGCAGCTATCGCAGTTTGAGAGGGGAAGAATCACCGGCATGATGGAAGCTGGGTGGTCAGCTCGGTGAGTAGCTCGTCCATTAGGCCGCTCTGATTGTGTTGTGAGGAGGTGTTGGGACCAGTGGATCCGAGAGATGTCATTTACACGAAGACCAGGCTCATGAGCCCTCGTCGTCGAGAAGACCACCACATCGTAAGAAATGCACGCGTACAGCCAACTGATTTATCGGCCGCCATCCAGGCACATGTAGCACCTCCACTAGGGGCCCCTGTGTCTTCTCGAACCATACGAAGACGCCTGGCTGAAGGACATTTGGGATTGAGGCGCCCATTACGTGCGCTGTCCTTGACACGAGGAAACTGGACTGCAGCGGAATGGAATCAGGACGTCTTTAGCGACGAATCTAGATTCAATCTCAGCAGTGATGCCAATCGTGTTCGTGTGTGGAGACCCCGTGGTGAACGCCTCAATCCTGCCTTTGCTTTACAGCGACACACCGCTCCCGCAGCTGGTGTGATGGTATGGGGTGCCATTGCCTACAATACAAGGTCACCGCTAGTATTCATCCGTGGCACCATGACAGCCAGTGGTATGTCCATGACATCCTACATGTGTTGCTACTCATGCAACGGCTCCCAGGAGCCATTTATTTTTCAACAAGACAATGCTCGGCCTCACACGGCAAGGGTGTCACAAGACTGTCTCCACACTGTTACTACCCTTCCCTGGCCTGCCTGATCCCCAGATGTCTCCAATCTAGCATATCTGAGATCATCTGGGACGGCGAGTTGGGCATCCCACGAGTTTGAACGAACTAGAGGCAAAGTTACAGCAAATATGGAACAAAATGTCTCAAGACATCATACAGAACTTGTATGCCTCAATACCCGATCGAATCGCATTGTGCATTCGCGATTGAAAGGGTTCAAAAGGGTACTAAATCCTCCGTTCTTTTGCCTTTTTCTCTGAGATAAATTATCCTTTTTCTTTGATTTTCTAATCATTTACTTATATCAAAGTAGTCATTATGTAAGTAAAATTTCGTTTCATTTTGACTACTCCTTTTTGGTGCGCTAATTTTTTTTTTGTCCATGAGTGTATAATCAAGGATGGACATCTTTCAATCTTTCTACGTTTGTTAAAAGAGGGAAATCTTAACATTAAATGAGAGAGCATCATGAAGCTTCTAAAAAAGCGCTGGGGCTCCCCTGTGGGTCTGCAGAGCACAGTTTACAAACGGCTGCTTTAGACAATTATTTAAAAGTAAATAATAATTAAACTTTTTTGTATAGCTTCAAAATTCATGATAAATAATGTATTTCTTTTTTTAAAAAATTGATAACTTAAAAAAACACACACAATAAATTATTGCACTCAGATTAAAACATTTTGTGTGTGAGGTAATGAAATACTTTCATTCTTGTAGTCGTTGAATGAATTGAAAAGGAAACATGTTGCTATTTAAAATCACATTTATTGACAGTCACAAACACAAAGGAACGACACGAGCAAACACGCGCATAAGCAATACAAAGAACAAAAGCGTTCTACAACACTCCGAAGATCTCGTCTACTTATAATCATGGTCAACCGGAAGATAATAAAATCGTATGATTTTCGATAATGGCTTTTTTAATGCCATTATCGAAATCACCATGCTGGTGATGCAAGTCTGCATCCCCCAGTTTTAAAAACGTTGAAGTTATAGTTTTTGGAAGATAACATTATGGTTACTTTCCATCAGGCGGGTAAACTGGATATTAATTATCAATAAGTCTTGGAGGTTTCAAAACCATTATGAATTGAATTTACAATAAAATCATATGTATACAGAGTGTTTTTATACCTCTAGGATATGCAATATTGTGTATAAAAGCTCTTTCTAAAACCAGATGATGAAATAACAAACTTCTTTATAAGTGATAAATATAAGAAAATGCACTTAAAATCTGAGTAAGAATGTTTTAAAACTACCCATTGTACCTATTTTCAAACAATCAAAGTTAATCCAATAAATTAGAAAAAGATCCACTTAATCAATTCAACTTATTTTTTTAGTTTAAATGTACTAAATATAAAATTACAGCTTTTCAAAGCTTCCTTAATAAATACCAATACTTGAGATAATTGAATCTGTATTAAGATGTTTAGCTGAAGGAATTCATTCAATGATTGAGGGAAACAATATGCTTTTAGTTGAGAGCTAATCTATCGTGCTGAAGTTGTAATTTAGACAGATTTAAATTTTAACAAGATATAATATTGCCAATACCTAAATTGATTTCTTATAATATTGAAAACCATTTGCTCGCAAATATTCTTAAATAAAAAGATTAATAATACCTTCAAAAAAATGAAGATAGGCAGAGGAATCAAAATGCAGAACTGATTTTAAAATTCGTAATTACTAGAATTTCTGTGAGAAATAAACTGGCATGCAAAAGTCAAGGATGAGACTTTTTTAAAATGTAACATCATACAAAAGTCCTTCAAATTGAAGCAAATATCGTTAGATCTACAAAATATGTGATATTTGTGAGCTGCATTGACCTAGCAATTTGAACCTTTTTCTGGCAACTCCTTGAAGTGGTATAACAACGAATATTAGGCCCTCCCCCCAACTAAGTCAGGTTTGGGCCCCAAGCCTGATCTTACACAGAATATGTACTTTGCATCAGTTAGGCTTTGGGCCCACTCAGAATCCTCCTCTCCCCTTCAGCAATGTGGGGGTATATGTTACGCCACTAACTTCTAGGTTCATCATCAATGCCAAGCAATTTATCTCCACTTTTTTTTAAATAAAATTTTTTTAAGGGAGAGAATAGAAGAAATATTTCAATATTGTCATATTGTTGAAAGTTTTTTTTTAAAAAAACTTAAGTGAAAAGCATAGAAAAATTACGTTAATTTAAAAAATTCCTGATCTATCTTATTACAATACTCAAAATAGATAGTGAAATTTCTGTCATTTTGAGTAAAATTTAAAAAAAAATTTCTACTTATGTGATTTTAATCAATTTTTGAAAAACAAATGTCCAGAGTAATCCAGTCTTTTTTTTTATTTAAAGTAACATTCAATTCTAACTAAGAGAAAAGAATAATGCAGAATGGTGCAGTTAAGAAATATATTATTTTGCTTTACTTTATTATCAGATTTGACAAATCAGAGGGAAATGAATTGTGAGCTATCTTCTGCCTTATAAAAATATCATTCTTAATGTAAAAAAAAAAAAAGAAGAAACTGCCTGTATCATTGCTGTGTTTTATTACAGATACATGCTTAAGACATTTAAAATTACCCATTCATAAATTCAAGTTTTCAGATAATAAAAAATTCCAAAAAAAAGTTGTTTTTTAATATAGAGTATTTTTTCTCCAGAGTGAATACTAACTATTTTTTTATATCTGACAGTCATAGTTTGTTTCCATAATACATATATTTTTTTGTTGTTGTGGTTCTTGCTAAAACTCAATAAAATGACTTGCATTTATGAATTAATTGAATTGGCTTTTTTAATTCAATTGCAAAAACACTGGTTTTAAAATACTAAAAAAACAAAAACATTAAATTAATTTTCTTGTTTTATTTTTAAAGTATAGGTCATTTTCAATGATGTTTTCTAAAGAGAAAAACACAGCTTTTTGAGGGACAAAAATTGATAAATAATGAAAAAAAAGTTTATTTTGATTTATGTTAACTATTACTATATGTGAGTGCATATATTTAATACATATGTATATAAAAATGTGATTCATAAGATTTTAAAAATAATCTATTAATATGTAAAAGAAACACTTAATTTCACTTTAAAATTGACAAGAAATTTGTTTAGTAGGATTAAAATTTTAGCACATGATTGTGTGTGAAAATAAAAAAATTTGCAAAATGTGAAAAGACATTGAATGGGAATATCAATTGCATTTTAAATAAAAACCATTAATATGGCTCCTATTTCACACATTAAATATAGTTTTTTAGAGTTCCATAACTTTCGATCTATAATTATTTTTTAAATTCTCGCATTAAAGTTTTCATTTAGATTTGAGTTTTCTTTTTGCTAAGTTTTTCCGTCTTATTACAACTATAAATAATTTTCTTATTTTTGGTTTGCTTTTCTTGATATTCTTTTTTTTTATTTCTTCATGTACAACATTTAAATAAGTAAAATGCTCTGTATGCAGACTACAAGGTAGATCAATCAAATATATAAAAGGAAATATTAATATTAAATCCTTTACTGAAAAGCAATTGAACACTCCCAATAAATATCCCTTTAAAACCAAACAAAACAATTATGAAA